CCTGTTCTGTTGGGCAGTCCCATGCAACATTGGAGAGTATGGGATGAGGCTGCTGTGTCTGCTCATGTGGCTTGGTAACTGTGCTCCCCAGTACTCATGCAGAGGCATTGTGTAGTTTACCTTATGTGAGGCTCCAGTGTGTAAGGGCTGTGCATGCAAGTACATATGTACTTGTGTGCATGTATATGTAAATGTGTGCATGTTTAAGTATGTGTGTGCCTGTGTTTTTGTGTGTATGCCTTTGTGTATGTATGCACATGTTTGTACATATATGTGAAAAGGTGTGTGTGAGTAATTTCATGTGTGTGCATGCATGACCACGGGAATATGTGTATGCATGTGTGTGTTTGTGAGTTACTGCATGTATAAGTGACATGCATGACTTTGTGTTTATGTGTTTGCACATTTGTACTAGAGTGCATGTGTACACATGTGCCCATATGTTTACATGAGGGTGCTTGTGTGCCATGTGCCCATGTGTTTATGTATGCATGTATTTGTATGTATACATGTGTAGGTGTTTGTAAATGGCCAATATGAGAATGCTTATGTTCCATGTACTCATGTGTTATATGTGTATAGGTTGTTGATGTGTATAGGTTGTTGATGTGTGCTTAGTTCAATGTGTTTGTGTGTACATGTGTGCAAAATGTGTGAAGGTGACCAGTGGGTGTTGGAATTTTGTCTAGCATAAGGGCTTGTTTTCCATAGATCTGAGCTCAGTGTCCATTTGGGTGTCTGACCAGTGCTCTCCCTCCCTTGGGCAGACCCGCTACTGAGTTGTGTTGTGTGAACTGGACTGTTCTGGAAACCCCAGAGGAAAAGAAGGGCCTTTCCTCACATCCAGGAGCCTCCATGTGAACATAGAGCCACATATTGGGCCTCATAGACAGAGACCCCTGGGAAAAAGTTGTATAGTTTCTCCACCACCTCTCCTCTTTTTGGTGCATCTACCTAGAGTAGCTTCTGGTTGGAGGGGATGTCCAGTGAGGGGCACTACTGTTGAGAGATCTGTCCTTGTATCAGGCAGTTCCACAGCAGACCCTCTTCTGGGTGGCCTTAAAAGATACCCAACTCTCCTCCAATATTGACAGTGTAGGTCAGCCCAGCTTCTGCATGCAGCCTGGCAGAACCATGCTCAAATGGGCCTCAAAAAGAACCATGCCAGTTTTGCAGGACCCCAGGACAAAGCTGGGTGCTTTATTTTGGGTTGGATCTCCTGGGGAATTATTTACAAGTGAGATTTCAGGTGTACTCCGGGGCCCCAGTGAGTGGTAGTGGGTGGGAAGGGGTGGGAGGCACTCAAGAATTATGCTGATTGGTGCTCATTTACCAGGAGACTGAGAGACAGACTTCTGGGTGTAGTGATTGTGCAGTGCCTCATGCATCACCACACAGCTGTAATGGTTTCCTTGCTGCCAGTCGCTCTTTTGCACCGTCAGCTTGCTGTATAGGAAGAATGTCCCATCAGCCTCTGCCTTGGCATCAGTGTTCACGTAGTTGCTCTCAGGTTCTGGCTGCTCATTGCTTTTCCACTCGACAGCAATTTCATTTGGGTAGAATCCCAGTATCATGCAGGTGAGGCTGACCTTGTTCTTCTTGTTGGCCAGCTCATCACGGTGTGGGGGCAGGACATACACCTGTGGCTCCTGGGGCCTCCCTTGGGGATGGGAGTTAGAGGTGTTATTCCTACTGGGGAGGGTGGCATTGACCACCACTCTCCATCTACCCAATGTCTTACCTTTGGCCTTGGAGATGGTCTTCACTATAGGTGACGGGAGGGCTCCATTGTTGAC